TTGATGGCACAATGAGTTGGCCATCTTTGACAAGCAAATCAAAAATCTCGTCACACTTAGTTACATCGAAAGTATAAACCTTCTTTGGGAATTTGTCACTTTTCTCATTTTCAACAATTTCTTTCCCTTTTGTGGGAACTAATAATTTGCAGAAGTAAGGTGGGGCCTGTTTTAATTCAGCGAGATCAATTTCGACCTCTTCGAATTCAGGGTAATCTTCTGCTTCCTCAGCTCCAACATAGGAGACCCTTTCTTTCTTGTTATTTTTAAAAACTCTGGCCTTTTCGGCCTTTAGCGTTTCGACCTGTCGAACCCTATCGGCTAATTGAGCCATATCCCTCAAGTATTGTGTGTCTAATTTCTTTCGAATAGAGTAATCCAGGCCGCCAGCAGCCATTTCGACTAACTCATGTTCAGGAACTACTGTAAAGCATCTAGATTTCAAGAGCTTGAATCTATTCAGATAATCATCTATGGGTTCAGTAAACTTCCTCTTGACACTGGCTAGTTCCTTCAGACTTATTTTAGATTGTCCCATGTAAAACTGTTCATGGAATAATCTCTCCAACAGAGCCCAAGTATCTATGGACCCAGGAGGTAAAGTGGTGAACCATGTGAAAGCGTTCTTAGTTAGGGAACTTGGGAAATATTTGATCCTAAGGTCTTCATTATTTGCTATATCTCCTGCTTCGGTTAGATACCTGGCTATATGTTCGACTGTTGATTCATTGGTATCCCCAGCAAACTTTGTAAACTTAGGGACTTTATATCCCCTTGGTAAATCAGTGTGCATTATGTAATCTAATATAGGAGAGGTATAATTTGGCCTTCTAATTCCTGTGTTGAGGCCATTCTGGGCCATGATTCTCTCTATCATGGTGGTTAAATTATTTTCGGCCAAGATGTTATCATTTCGAATTCTGTGAACGACTGCATCAGCATCTTGATTTCGACCCACCATGGCAACTCCTCTAGGTTGTTCTTCTCGAAACTCTAGGACTTCTAGCCTCTCGACCCTTGCCCCTGGTTCCATAATTTCCCTTTGTGGGCCTTGAATCATTGGGGCTTCTAACATTTGTGCCCTTGCCCCCAAATTAACCTCCTCTCTGGATGGTCTATAGGGTGGGTCGTTAGCAACTTGTTCTATGATAGGTACGTTTGCTCGAACTCCCACCTGATTATGCCTACGCCTTTCTGGGGGAGCGAAAAAATCTGCTATTCGACTCATGTTATCCGCGTTTTCTCTGTTTGTCACAGTTACATTTTGTACTATTGGGGCAAAGATCTCCTGCATAGTTTGTGCTAATACTCCTATCATATTATGGTTACTGTCATCCATTAATTGCCTAAAGGCCAACTGATTTTCTGTGGTTAAGATAGGCATTGCACTATAACCCACTGATCCTTGGTTATTTGTCATAAATTGGTTTGCCCCAGACCCAGACCCTAATTGTGGTGACGTATTCGATGTCGAAGTGTGCAGACCCGCCATAAAAGATGTTGGCATCCCATAAGAGGAATTTCTGTGTCTGTTAGCATCGAACCCGGGTGGTCTAGTTAGTGGGGTGACGAAATGGGTTTGTGTCCCTGATGGTGGGACGAATCCCCCAGGATAACCAATGGTTCCAGTATTTCCTAGGATCGAACTGTTAGTTGACATGCCACTTGTTCCATTAGTGGCTACACTACTGGTAGAGGATGCAACAGACTGTGCGTTCGAAGGGATCGCATTAGATGTTCCCATCGAAGCGGACATATTAGTGCCTGTTGTATGTGGGATATTTTGTTCCCCTTGTTGATTGTCTGGATTAGACATCTTGTTTAAACGTTTTCTTCTGGGTAAGGGTTGGTTGCTATTGGTTATTCTACCACTTCTAAGGTTCATATAACAACAAACTTATCACTCAGAGAGTACTTTTACAATGGTTATGTCTCAACAATTTTTTTTACTTTGTTCTAAATTTCGTAATGACCAATGACGCGTCCCACCGGGTGTGCCAATTTGTTTACAGTTATTTCTGGTAAACAACCGCTAGTCCTCCAAACTATCAAATAATCTTAATGACTGTTATCTAATCTCTCTGGTAACTTGCAGGATCGACTAGATTGATCCTATGGTGTATTGGTCGTTTGGATAATTCTCGTTGTAGAACTGATATTCATGGTTGGTATTTAGAATGTTGTGTAGGTGTTCAACTTACTTCGATTACTCTATTAAAGATTTAATGACATGATCAAGTAAATACATGCGAAACTAAATTGCATGAATAAAGGTTCAATTGTAAAGACATGTGAAACTGCAAAAAGACAAGTAAATAACTTCGAAGTATAAAAGCATGTAATGTAAAAGAGTTTCTGGAATGTAAAAGATTCGAAATAGAAAGAAAGCGTTTAAATGCAAGAAATCAGTAAAATGACTTTGGATGAAAAAGGTATTCGAATGATAAAAGCATGAAGATAACAACATAAAAGGTATAAGAATTTCTGAAATGTAAAGTACTCGGAATAAAAAGAAAGACTTTCAAATGCAAGAAATCAGTAGATGACTTTGAATGAAAAAGATTTTAATGTAAAGGCTTTTGAATGATATTGACATGAAGATAGAGGATAAACTGGAAATGATAAAGAGTTTTATTGAATCATAAATATTTGGTGTTATCATACGTACATTGTTCGAGCATTCGTTTCCCTAGTCATGTGGTATTTTGAATGTTTACTGAATTTTGTACAATAGATATGACACACAAAATCCTAACGCTAAGACTTCTATTTATACTACTTCGACCATAACGGTCTTGCCTATAAGATTCTGCCACGTTCAGAACATGCAAAGCAATGCCCCTCTCTAGCTTCCACGCGTCTTCGAATGCTCCAGCGCATATATTTTAAATTTCGAACATCCCGCTTGCGTGTGAATTTCAAATGTTTTGGCGCTCTTTGTTTCGAACTCATTTCTTGGACACAGCCTTGTTACCACTTCGAGACTTCTTTTGAATATATCCCCATAACTGTCACTCGAAGCTCTGAGCTTTGACATGCTCATTCGAAGCACTGCTTCTACCATTTCGAAAACATGACATCTTGCTTTATTCCAACGGAACATCCAACTTGCTTCGCTTCGAACAGTATCATCAAAATCTTCAGCCAACAGTAATACAGTAGCCTATTTTCCTTAATTTTTCACGTGGTAGCCGGTTACCCCCATACCAGTAACCAGTTACCACTGTTGCAGAACTAAAAAATCTACATCTTTTCCAAATGCGATTTTCAATGTTTCAACACCAAAATTCTCAGTTTTTCCATAAAAAATTATCTTTCAATCATGCTAATTATTTACTAATACATACTTATCGATTCCAACTAAAATACATCATCAATTTCACAATCAATCATACAAAAAAAAATCAAAACTCAACATTGAGAGAAAAATCCCAAGAACACTAATCAGGGAGAAATCAAAATATACCATAATGGGACCTAAATTCTACCATACTCCATCACTAGGCAATCTATTATAGTGTTAGAATCCCCCCTTACCTTAGATTGATGACGGTTCTTGATTACTACAGATGAAATTTTTGGCCCTAGCCTCCTAGTGTTCTTTCACCTCTTCTCACTTCTACGCTTCTTCTCTGTTTCTACGATATAAATCTAATTCTCTATTCCCATTCTATTATATTCCCACAATAATCTTAGTCTTCCCAATTAAATAATTATTTAATAAAATAATACTAATCCTATTATTCTACTAATAATTCTATTTTAATTATTATAAAATAATAATAAATCTCATATTTAATCCAAAAATATCAATTGTCACTCTCATCCTTATGTTTCTACACTTTTAGTCATACATCCTTATCACTTCAATTTAAATAGTTTCTAAGACATCTAATTACTAACAAATACATCACATCACATCATAAAATTCATCAACTCATATAAATACACCGCATCATCTAATTATTTTAAATAAATAATTTTAATTAAATCGAAGTGTTACAATGACACTAGTAGAAGACAAATATTTACCACAATGAAATACGAGAGAAGTAAAAAATATATTTTAAAAATTCAAAAGTTAAAACAAAATGACACCAGATAAAAAAAATATGAGTGTCCATTTAAGATATTATAGGGTGGATAATTCGTTCAAATAAAATTGCAAACTTTTCTAAGACTGAAAAAAAAGAAACATATACTTTAAATGCAAAAGGATTTGAACATTGTAAAAAAAATATAATTAGTATTTTAATGTATATAGTGATGATTTCTAAACAAATTCAATCTTATCCTTAACAAAATTTACATGTCTTATCAAAGAAATATACTATGTGAAAGAGTTATTTAGTATTTTTGGTGGTTGTTTGTTTTCTCAAATTTATTATGAATTATGAATGTATGAAAAGGTTATTTATTTATTTTTTTATGGTATAATCATCACTATTATAAATAAAAAAATGTTTTAATTATTTATCATTATTATAAATAAAAATTAATTATTAATAAATTATTTAATATTGTAATTTTTAATATATTCTTCTATTTTATTTTTTAATATTTCATTAAATTTAATAAAGATGACATAATAATAAATTTTTTAATATTTCATTAAATTTAATAAAAATGATATAATAATAAATTTATTATATTTTAATTAATATTAAAATCTAAAAAATTAATTATATTTTATTAAATTTTTTAATAATCATGAAAATTATTTTTTTATATTTATTAATATGACTGGAGGATATAGTTTGTTTTCTCAAGTTTATTAATATTATAAAAAGATCAATCATTAAGTTAATTAATTAAGAAAAAGAAGAAATTGCCGAACCAAAAATATAAGAGGACCTACATCCTTGTTTGGTGAGGTTGAGATAACAGAGGAATCTACTTTACAAATTTCAATGATTGATCTACTAGCAGATACTAGTAACTGACTAGAGCTACCCAAGACCCAGACACAATCATCATCATCCATACCGACAAAGTCAAAGATGGCCGAGGGAGAAGCAACAGAAGCTTTGAAATCTCTAGAAGATTTTGATCCTCAAAACAAGTCCAAAAGGAACAAATTCTCTTTTACTTGTGCTATCTTGGCTTCTATGACTTCTATTTTACTTGGATACAGTGAGTACATATTACAATCATATCATAAAACTCACTTCTATTCCTAGATGAATCTATGTTGTCATCATGCTATTTAATATTAACTACATATGATGTTATTATTGTAACAGATATTGGTGTGATGAGTGGAGCGGCTATCTATATTAAAAGAGACCTTAAAGTTACTGACGTACAGATTGAAATTCTCTCAGGCATCATAAATATTTACTCTCCCATAGGCTCTTACATAGCAGGGAGGCTCTCCGATTGGATTGGTCGGCGTTACACGATTGTCCTCGCCGGAATAATTTTCTTCGTCGGAGCCATCCTTATGGGACTTTCCATGAACTATGCATTTCTTATGTTTGGTCGTTTCTTCGCCGGTGTTGGCATAGGTTTTGCTTTCTTGATTGCTCCTGTCTATATTTCTGAAGTCTCTCCAACTTCATCTCGTGGATTCCTCACTTCCTTGCCTGAGGTAAGTTTTCAAATTAATTTACACTTTCTTCAATTATTTACCATTTAGATTAGAAATTAATTGAAGTTAACTTTGAGATTACTATAAAGAATATATATTAGATTAGATAAATCACTTGGATATACTCAATTTCTTACATATAATGTTATTATTGAATGACATGTTATTTTCAGGTATTTTTGAATGGTGGGATTTTAATTGGATACATCTCAAACTATGGATTTTCGAAATTGCCACTTCAGTATGGCTGGCGAGTGATGTTTGGAATTGGTGCCATCCCTTCTATATTTCTAGCCACAGCTGTATTAGCCATGCCAGAGTCACCGAGATGGCTTATTGTCAAGGGTCGAATAGGGGAAGCTAAAAAAATTCTCTATAAAATCTCTAATTCTAAAGAAGAAGCTCAACAGAGATTAGATGATATTAAAGAGATTATAGGGATTTCCTCAAACTGCGACGACGACATTGTTTCAGTCACAAAAGTTCAAGGTAGAGGTGTATGGAAAGAATTATTTATTTATCCTTCACCCGCGGTTCGTCACATTTTCATTGCCTCGCTTGGCCTTCACTTCTTCGCACAAGCAACTGGTATAGACGCTGTCGTTTTATACAGTCCTAGAATTTTCGAGCAAGCTGGGATCCAATCCGACACAAATAAGCTTCTTGCAACTATAGCGGTTGGATTTGTGAAAACATTATTTGTCTTGGTGTCCACTTTTTTATTGGACCGTGTTGGGAGGCGCGTGTTATTGTTAACTAGTGTTGGTGGGTTAATACTCTCACTTCTTACATTGGCAATTAGTCTCACGATTATTGATAACTCACACGCCACCTTGACATGGGCTATTTGGCTTAGTATAGCGGCAGTTTTGTCCTATGCTGGTACTTTTTCAATTGGGTCGGGTCCTATTACATGGGTTTATAGTTCTGAGATATTTCCGTTGAGACTTCGAGCTCAAGGCGTGTCTATTGGGGCGATGATGAATAGGCTCACTAGTGGAGTCATATCCATGACTTTTTTGTCCCTTTCGAAGACCATCACTATTGGGGGTGCTTTTTTTCTTTTTGCAGGAATTGCAACTATAGCATGGATTTTTCACTATACTTTGCTCCCAGAAACACATGGCAAAACATTGGAGGAAATAGAAGGATCTTTTGGTAATATCTGGAGTAAACGAAATGATAGTTCCAATGTTGAAGGAGTGAACGACTTAAACCTTCATTTGATTAGTGGTTAGTTTTGATAGAATCACGCTGAATTTTTAAGACTCGGCAGAAACTTAGTTTTTAAGCTTAAAACTTTTAACGTTAAACTTGTATTGGAATGTGATATTTTGTGTTCAAACACGAATAAAAAAACACACTTAAGTTGGTGTCAATGCTTTGCAAAGTTGGTAAATTTATATGAATTGATCTTTTAAATGATTAAAAAGTATTTTAGTAACTGTTTGTAAATTGTGTATCGATTTGAGACCATAGTTTTTGTATCTACTTTAACGTGAATTATTAATCATTTTGATTAAGACGAGTTAAAATCATGTTCCAACAAATTAACATGACTTTTCTCAACAAAAGAATTATAAGTGAAAAATAATTTTGTATTTCATCTTCCCCTTCCATACAATCAAATTCATTCAAATGGATGATTTTTTTTGGGTATGAAAGAGTATCGGTTCCTTTAGTTGTACGAGACTTTAATGAATTGAGAGAGAGAGAGAGTGTTACTAGAATAAACCATAAGATTAAGTTGTAAAATACTTGTATTATCTTTTCCAAGAAATCTTTAGATGTGATTTTTTTTCATTTGATTTCTATGATAAATGAATATATGTTCATTAATAAATAAAAAATGAGATGTTTGATGAATTATGATTAAATGTTATACGTGATGAGAGTACAATATTGTTGATCATGTCAGTGATGTATTAGGTGTAGGCCTTTTGTCTACGGAACTGTAAAAATTGTGATCTCATTAACCTAACTATCATTATTACAAAAAAAAAAATAATAACGGTTAAAAAAGATATATAATCACGCATGTCTGAGCGTTGTTATGTAGAGTGTTGTTATAAATGTATTACTTACAATCACGGTCTTGGGATTATTGTAGTATACTAGAAAGCGCGCGATATCACAACGATTAGTTATCTCAACCGTTCTAATAGACCTAAAGGTCCCAGGTTTGATTCTCATTTTTGTTGTTTTAAAAAAAAAAGGAATTATCTACTTTTAAAAATTTTCCCATATTTTAACTTGTATCTAATTTAACCATATCAGAGAATTAAAAGCAATCCGTATTTTTGTTAACCATGCATAAAGAGCATAAAAACAACCTACATTTTGCATCAAAAGACAAAAGTAATATTTACATCAAACACAAAATATGTTATTTACATCTTCAATCTCAATAATATATCAAACATATCTATAAATCAAACAGCATGACCCTTAAGCTTATTGTGGATAAAAGTTCAACGTTTACGAATTTCTTTAAAGTCCTCAACGAGGAATGGTGTTTCATCGTTAAACATCTACATAAAAAAGAAGAAAAAAAAGTGAATACCATGCATGATAATAATTGAATAGTCAACTTATATATAATATAATGAAAAAAAACATTTTATGACATATATACTATATATTGTATCTCATGAATCAAGAATGCTGACAGGAACAATGTTTAACATGTGTTTCATGACATAATACTCACACTCATAACTCCATGGTTGTTTCGCCGTCTACAAATTTAAACAATAATTTCATAAATATAATCACACATGAATGTAACAGTATATATAAATGATAGAAACAAGTAATCGGCCCACTTACCTTAGGCAAGAGCCACGAGGATTTTCTTCTAATATTGCGCATGATACTGTGTCGCTGCACAACACTGTACATTGAAAACGAATTAAACATATTACGCGTTAAACTAATTAAAATGTCAAAGAAAATATTACTTTAAAGTTTCATATAAACATACACTTATCAATTAATAATATCGTTCATTTTGCTTTCGAGTTTCTTATGTAAGGAACACAGTGTAATTATCGTATTTGTCCTAAGTGATATGATGATCGATTGTCAATGACCAATGAATAAGCACGAGCATATAAATAATAAGTACTCCCTCCGTCTCAAAATATAAGAGAAAAAAATGCATTTTTGTTGTCCTAAAATATAAGAGAGAAAAAAAATCAATTTTCATACTTTTCAAGGTAAAATTAAATGTAAATTGCAGTTAATTTATCTTTTCTCTCATCTTTTCTATAACCATCAACCAATTAGAATTCTTTTTACATCTTCATATGCAAATTTTTCCATAAAAATCACAAGTCAAATTATTATGTTTTTACTTCTCTTAATAAGTGTGATTTTATTTTTCTCTCTTATATTTTGGGACGGAGGGAGTATTTGCTAAAAAAAACTAAATATATAATAGATAAACAAAAATTACAAAATTACTTACAAATTGATAAATGGTGCTAAGTAACATTCTTTTCCTCCCTCATTTAACTATTTTGTCACGTAATCTTGAATCACTTTTGGATAATTATCTGTCCATCGAATACTAAATGGATCCAAGATTCCATAAATATGTGATTTATTTAACTCTATACAAACACAGTGAATGTACCTAAATGGTTAAATAAAATTAAAAAATCAAGGGAGGAAATACAAAAAAAATGATAATGTACTATAATGACATGCATATTCAATTATATACTTACGTGCATCAAACATGTAATATCCCTATGTCCAACCACTTATGGCCAATGAGAAAATCCCTTACATCTTTAGGATCATAATAGAAGAGTTCTACATTTGGACAATATTGTAGCGTAAGAGGTTGTATATCATCGACCTCCGTAACACTCATGTATAACGTGGCGATTTGATTTGCGGAAGGATCCAGTAACTCATTGCAGTTATCTTGAGGGGGAGAGAGGTTGAACAATTACTTTCTTTGGTGCTAGCACGACGTACAACACTTCTAATTGAAAAATGATCATCATCATCACCATCATCATAATGATCATCTTCATTTGTACGTTATTAGATGTTTCCACTTATTCTCCACATCATAATATTCAATTAGAACATAAAACAGAATAATCATAATATATATATATATATATATATATATATATATATATATATATATATATATATATATATATATATATATATATATATATATATATATATATATATATATATATATATATATATATATATATATATATATATATATATATATATATATATATATCATACATTTATGATAAAACATTAACGTCTCAAATAAAGCACATACTAAATATAACTCTTCTAACTTTTCTAACTTTTCTAACTTTTCCATATCTTTCCTCTGTCTTTCCTTCTCCTCTTCTAATATCTTACTTTGTTCATGTAACTGCTTCTCAACTTTCTCAATCTTTTCTATTTGTGCATGTAATTTCACATTTTCGATGATTTTTCTTGATGAAACAAAGAATAACCTCATGGCGACACCTTCTCCAACACCACGAACACGCCCACTATGTTCATCTGTTCTGATAGCTTCAACTAGTATATCATGTCGTGGTTCTGGTATAAATGTTCTTTCACAGGCAACCTCAACCAACGTATCATACACAACATGTATGATAATATATATTGTTACCAAAGCATTTAAATAACAAATAACATAAGCAAAACAAGTCATACTTATAACTTTCTCAAAAACTACTCTTGACGCATCTGAGGTGTACTCTCCATTTGGTCTTAATCGATCCCTCTTACACTTATCATGTCTTGACGGTGGAGATGGAATGTGATCATCTCCCGTTTGTTATTTTTTCAAGCATGATTGTTTTCTCAAGTTTCATATAACCCCCACGAGACAATCTATGGGGTACATGTTTTTTACCTTGTTTTGTATTCCTATTTCGCTTTTAACTTGTTATTAACATAATGAAAAAAAAACATAATTAGTATCTATAACTCATTAGCATAAAATTATCGGATAAATAAGACTAGTACTAACCTTGAAATTCTAAGAACCACGGTCCCTCGCAAACTTTTTCCATTGCTTCTTCGATATAAAACTATATCTTATCCATGGACGAGCAAGACCAATGTTAGGCTTCCTAATGTAGTCAAGTGTGATTCGTGACTTAAATCCCCTCCAACAAGTTACCGGCGTAAGTGATCCACTTTTTTTCAACTTTTGATCATCGGTAAACTCGAAACTCAACTACATTTAAATCAATAAGTATGTATTATATGAAAATTAAAATTATTACCTTAACGTCTGTCCATATGATATCTTTGATATCACTTGGCACTTGTTTTCAATCATCTATCAATATACTGACTTTGCTACGTCCAAGGAACACAACAGGACTCTTAAAAGTATAGTAATGTTCACAATCAACTACTTTGTAGAACGAATCAAACACGATTTGAATTTTGTCACCTGAGTTGCAGAATTTTTTAAATTGGGGCATTATTGTGACACATCTTTGTGATCTTTTTATTTGAGTATTATTTGAACAAGTATCATTTGTATGAATTTCTTCGCTAGTAGATAAAGAATTCGACAATGTGGACATCTATGTTTGAAAAAAACAAAAACAACACAACATAAACAACAATAACAACAACAACATAAACTATAATAACAATAACAACATAATCAACAACCACAACATAAACAATAACAACAACACCAACCTCTTTTATCTAATATAACCATCTAATATTATTTTCACATATAACAACAACAAAATATTAATCATACACATTAACAACAACAACAACATCCACAACAATGGCAAATGAAGTTTACATTAGATGCATGGAGAAAATATTTTACGTACTGTAAATGTGATGACTAAGTAAAGGATAATATTGTGTTGATGTTGATGTTGTTTTCCTTCCCGACGATGATGACGGTGTTGTCTTTCTTCTTGATGATGATGAAGGTGTTAGTGTTGTCTTCTTTCCCTCCTCGACATCGACGATCGTGTTGGTGTTGTCAACCTCCTTGACGATGTTAACGAAAATGACAAATACACAATTAACAAAGTGAAAAATAAGGAATGATAAACAGTGAACGATAGTGTTATGGTTGAAATCGTGTATCATTTCACAGTATTGAACATTAGGGTTGTTTCATATTATTTCTTTTTTCAGTGGAAAAATGGATACTGAAGAGATAAGCTAGCTAGAAGTGTAAAATATTTATAAAGAT